TTTCGCAAAGGAAAAAGTTACTTCAAATAACCTCAGCTATCCCTCATTTTCGGTTGTTAAAATAATTGTGGAACACCCTGTATGTATATATATACTATTGTCATGCAATAGATATATTTATAGCATATATATATATATATCTATTGCATATATATATATGATATCTTTCTCTTTGTTTCTTTTTCCGTAGAAAGGGTTACATAAATAACGAAACTCTGTGCAAAATCGAAATTTTCCAAGGCGATTGTAAAAAACAAAAACTAAATAAATAGAAATTGTTACTTTTCATAATCGTTGAAACGCTATTATATAAAATTCTTTTCTAGATATCTCTCGATTTTTCTGCGTGCAACGATTCGTATACGCTTGGCAGCAGGTCCAGAGCAGGGTTCTGCATCCGATTGACGTCAGAGCCAGCTAAATATCCACGAAACAGCCGAAGGAATGCACATTCGAAGTTATTTCGACCCTGCGAGGATTTGGCAGATGGGTGGACCCGTTCCAGCCGAAGCGGCCGACCTGTATTCGTTTCGGTGATTTACAAACCACGACAGCCGACTGGAAACTATTACAGACGCGATCAGTGTGATCGATCATGTCTGAAAGATCGTCGATATTAGCATGGAGTCTGCACGATTATAGAAATCACTTTTGAAATGACAGTGCGTCCAAGCTATAATGTATACGCACCGTTAAAAATAATCCTCCATTTTCGAGATACAATTTGGTTTCAAGTTTGCTAAACACCATACATATATCTCTTTCTGTTGTAAGTACTGAAAAAATCTGATACAGGTTAGTGGATAGAGTCATTGATTATAAATCCGACGGTCCAGGTTTCTAATCTAACCGAGCAACCTTTCTTTTTCTTTTTTTGAAAAAGTTTTTGGAAGAGGAATATGTTCCATTTTCTTTTTTTATTTGAATTGAATTACGATGTGAAACAGAGCCTGCGTGATGAATGGAGGAACTTGATATTTCATGGTTAACGGATGATTTAATGTATTTACGTTATGTCAATTGGTGGTATTGAAGAATATCAATCCTCTGCAATTTGTACTTTCCACTAGAGTAGTGGAACCAGTTACTGTGGGATAGCCGATTGCTGTGCCTTTTGTTTATTTTCAAGTATAATTGACATTATATTTATCGTTTAAGACGTAACATATTTTTTTTATTTAAATTCAATTGATTATTTATTTGTTAAAATTCAACATTTCATTATTTGTGTTATGGGAAAATTGATATCGACAAAAAAAGATTTGAAATATACCTTCAAGTCCTTAAAAAATGTCATTTAAGAGCGCACAGTAATACGGGTTCGCCCACTTGATGGATAAACGGACAGCGTTAAGTAATTAAATCGTTTGTTACTTTTTGTTGCGTTTCTGTGGTTCCAAGGTTTCCTGCCTGTACAGCCTAAATGGAATGTCTCGGACGAGTTTTTCACAGAGAATTATGCACGTGGTTCAGCCGCGGAAATGGTGCATGAACTCCTTGTCGACGCACGACTGTTCTTTATCACTCTCAACTTTTTTCACAGCACAGCGAAATTCCGATCTCTTCGGACAGTGTGCAAGTTACTGTGATTATACTGAATATATAATATTTTAAGTTATAAATTATGATAAAATGTTTTAACATTCAAGTAGCAAATATAAAGTTTACAAGTGCATTTGAATTTCTTCATGTTTTGTATGAAAACAACACACTTGTACAAAATATATAATTTAGCAAAGAATACCAATGTGTAGATCCATCTTAACCAGTCAGCTGTTTTCGATGTGTAATAGATAGTAATACACTGTAGTAGACTGTGATATAATATATTGAGATACATTATAGCACATTGTAATACGTTGAGATACATCGTATATAGTATACATTATAACATATTATAATACATTGAAATATATTGTAGCATATTTTAATATAGTGAGATACATTATAGCACATTGTAATACATTGAAGTGCATTGTGACACATTGAAATACTTTGTAGTACATTGTAATATATTAAGATATATTCTAGTACACTGTGATATATTTAGATACATTGTAGAACATTGTAATACATGGTAATATATTGTAATACAAGGAAAAACATTGTAACACATTGTGATATATTGGGACACATTATAGCACATTATAATACATTGAAATACATTGTAGTATACTTTAATATATTGAGATACATTATAGCACATTGTAATACATTGAGATACATTGAAGCACATTGCAATACATTGAAATGCATACTAACGAATAACAATATATGCTAATATGTAACAATAAAAAAAACAGTAGTATGTAATAACATAAATCAATATTGTGCGTGAAGTCTCAAAAAACGTTGACGTTCCTTGCGACTCGAACTTTAGTCCTATAATTATCGCTGAACCGCGGTGACCCTCGTAAACTACTCGGAAGTAATGACGTTCGAGGATTTTACAACTGTTTCTTGTCAAAGTACAGTGACCGACGGCGACGAATTATCCCGGCGTGGTGTCAACCCGGCGATTATAACTATTTCATCGAACATTTCGCAGTTCGGTCGTAACCGTTGACGTTCTCGTTTTCTTGTTTCCGATCGTTAGGTGTCCCGCGCGGTTCCATAGACACTGGCAACAGGACGTGGACGCTTCCGCGTTCGGCAAAAGGTGTCGTTTACGGGCCGCGCGGTTTCGACACAACGCACCGCCACGCCACCGGTTTCTGGTTCACGCGAACCGTTCACGAGACAGGCTGTCTATTAGCCAAGGTTAGAGCCGTAAAATTTCGAGCGGGTCACCGACAGCCCGGCCGGCAAGAAAGACCATGATCATCGGCACGCATCGGGGAAGAAACTGGTTTCCTTTCATTGCTATGGTAATGTGTGTTTAATCGTCGACCGTGCGTGTTTACGTTTTTTATCGGGCCCCGACGATGTGGCCCGGACTAAGTTGCCGGGGTTCTAGTTTCTTCGGGAGAAAATACGACGTTTCTTTTCGTACTGTGACATAATGACGGATCAAACGAGGCAATTGTTCGAAATTACGTCGCCACAGATGGAACGGACAAGATCGACGTAAACGACGCTGAACGAAATGTGAAAAATGAACAAAATGAAACAAAAATGTTTAAGGATAACTACCTCTGTCGTAGAGATTATAGAGTCTGCGAGGGCTACCTCCAACGCTCGCCAGTAGATGGCTAATGATCCAACACATTTCTCGGGTCCTTACGCAAGGTCTGCTAGATGGACCTACCGATGAGTCCTTTATCAAATCCAGGACGCAACGATTTCTCTTCTTTCTTCCACTGTAGTCGTCAAAAGTCGTCATTCAAGCCACCAACGAAATAATAAATAATAATATAAATAAATAAAATGATAAAGACCCGAACAACAAATTAATTTCAGCCGTGAAAGATAGGCCAGGAATTCAAGAACAAAAGAAGAATTCTCGTCTAAGTGATACATCTGAGCAATACGAAAATAAGTTTCAAGGTAGGGCCCTCCCTAATGGGATGACTAATTTAGATAGCCACCATGCAGTTTCCTTGATGAGACAAAGGAACTCCGTGGATCGTGCGGCGTGGTCGTCGATTCCAAGTTTAGGCGATTGTCGTTGAAATAGAGAAGGAACCGGATCCCTGCCGGGTGTCCCGATCAGTTTACAACACAGTTACGCAACCGGTGTAAAACGTTTACATTTATCGATCAACGGAATGGCCCTCCGAGCGAACGTGGCGTTTTTTGCCTTCAAACAGCCAGGAAATATTGTCTTGCCGCTTTCTACGACGTAGAAACGTATCTACAACGATTAGGGCGACCTTACCGAGGAGCCCTTTCGGCCGGAAGTCGAATTAGATTGAAACGACGCCGCTGAGGATTTTTTGATCCAAATGGATGAAAATACGATTTTTCAAATGTTGCGAAAGATGAGAAATTTTGTTCGTTCCGATGCTCTTTCTTGTATCATTGGAAACAGTGAAGGTTATTTGTAGGATGTGCCAATAGGGCTTTTACATTAACTTTTGTACTGCGATGTCTGGAGCATACTATAAGTACTATAAATACTATAAATAAGTTAGTAGGTACGTGCTAGAATTGATGAGTGAGTAAAATAATTTTGACTAGCTATATCGAGCAAATTGCCCACTGTACGACGGTGTTGAGTAACGGCATTTTCAGCGCCGCCATTATTTGAAGAAAACAAGGAAACCCCCCTGTTTTCACCGATTATCGGAACGCCAGTAAGCTTGTTATAACCCATATAACCGGAGGGTTTATATTTACTTCTGTAGCCTGTGGAAAAAGTTAACAGTCGCTGCTGAGAGGAGAACGTTATCTTTATTGCACGTTCGTTGAGGTTTCTCGGTTTTGAGGAACTGTTGCAAAACGATTGAATCGTACCACTTTTACTCATTCACATTTATTATCGGACGTTGCGTCACCGCCTGGTCCACTGACTCGGCGCAATGTATTGACCATCTTCGTGAATCTCGGGATGTAGAATAACATTCTTTCTTCTCATTTAACAAAATTTTATCTTCTTCAATTTCAGCATGAATCCACTTTTTCCAAAATACTTATGCACGGTAGTATAGGTACTTGATTGTTGCTCTTCTTCCGATAAAGACCTTTTTGTTTGGTTAAAGTCAAGTTTGTTTGGTTTCGTAAGGGCCGGCTAATTTACGACCCTGAGGGCCCTTGAGGAAAGGCATAAAACTGTCCTCCTTCAAGCTCTCTTTCTTCGATGTTCTTCGATTAAGAGGTTCTAGCTCCATTTGAAGTGTTTCCGCTCCCCTTACTGCTTCCAGCCGGCACTCTTTTCTATTATTTCCCCTGCTCGAGTGACCCTCTAATCTAGTCGCGATATTCTCTAGCTACGTACCAAGAAAATTACAATCGTACGAGTTCCTGTTTGATTCCGAATTCAAATACGCGCGGTACCATGGCAGTGGTACCCCAGCTAGAGTCATAAGATGGCTACTCGATAAGGGCGACGTCACAGTGATATCGACTCTCTGGCAACTTCACAGCTCGTTTGTTGTATTCCATACTGTGCATAAGGTTAACTTATTTGGTAAACAAAAGTATCGGTATTCGGCAAGAAATTGTTCAAAAATGGTTAAGTTAACGCCGGATCTGATACAGCAATCTATGCAATACATAAATCCTGTGAAAGATCGTGAATTGGATTTGAGAGGTACGTGTTAAATAGATAACGACGGAACCTAACCTTAACACATTGATTTCTCATTTGAAGTATTTGTGTTCGTTGCAGGATATAAAATACCTACAATCGAAAACTTGGGTGCGACTCTGGTATGTATTCGATCGGATGCATTCTTGTTCAAGCATCTAATTACATCTCTCTGGTTACGAGCGATTTTCATTAATGTTCTCTTTTTGCCATCAACAATGCTTTCCAGGATCAATTCGACACAATAGATTTCTCGGACAATGACATTAGGAAATTAGATGGATTCCCGCTGTTGAAAAGAATCAAAACACTTTTCTTTAATAACAATCGTATTGTCAGGATCGGCGAAGGGCTGGAGCACTGTATACCAAATCTGGAAACGCTCATGTTGACTGGAAACATGATTCAGGAACTTGGCGATTTGGAGCCCTTGACGCCGTTCAAAAATTTGACCAATCTTTGCCTGTTGCAAAATCCAGTCTCAGCAAAACCTCAGTACAGGCAGTACGTAGTGTACAGGTTTCCACAGTTGAAGCTCCTAGATTTCAGGAAAATTAAGATGAAGGAACGCGAGGCTGCTGTAGACTATTTCCGTAGCAAGCGAGGAAAGGAAATGGTTCGCGAGATTGCGAAGAAAGCGAAGACCCAGGCTTCTGGCACATTTACAGACAAACCTTTGACCACTCCAGAGGAACGTAATAAAATTAGGGAAGCTATAACGAATGCTTCTTCCCTGGAAGAAGTGCAACGCCTCAGCAAACTGCTTCAAGCAGGACACATGCCCAGCGAAGAGAGATTACAGAATGGTTTGTGCCAGTTTCACAGGGCAGCGTGATTTCTTTTATTTAAATTGTGTTAATCTCTGATTCACACATAAATTTCTCGAGTAAAATTCTGTCATTGTAAATAATCTTCCAGGGAACACAGTACCTGAGGCAATGGAGGAAGAAGACGATTAAATTTCCGATACGTTATTCTCAGATACATTAAATGGGTACATGTTATTTCTGTAAGTATTGATCGACAATTCTGGCGAACGTGTAAGCAGTATGTTAAGCTAATAAGAAACCATGCACTACACAACTCCATTCTTATTGGATGATGATTCGAATTATTTAAAATAAAATGTTTAAAATACCGAACTGCCGTGAAGCGATTTTCATATATGTATGATTACATTACCAATCTCTAGACTGTGGATATTTATGCATTTGTAACATACATGAACGATACAAGTTTCTCTAGCGAAACAAAACTCTCTGATAAAGGAACTGCGTTATTGTGTAATTTTTATTTTTATACCTAAAAAAATAACGCGCTTGCATAAACATCCGCAATCTGCCGAATCACTACTCGAAATGTTTACAAGTTTTAACATATACGTATGTTTATTTCAGTGTCCATAAAAATAAATCGTTTTCACATAATCTTACATGCTTGTATAATGTTTCTCCTGTTTCGTGACCTTAGAATTTATGTATTAGAATGTCATAAATGAAATCATTGTTATCTAGTAATTGATTTTTCAATATAAGTTGATTTATCGGAATGATACATTCGTAGTTGAACGAGTATCTCCGATTAGCTAATTTAATTTTGAATGTTTCAATTCGAATGTAACTTGAATCTAAATTGAACTAGCACATATAGAATTATTCAAATTTCTGCTAATTTTTATGTAGGAACTAGTAAAAATTGTTTCTCAGTCACGTAATTATATTTACATTCGAAGTTAAGTTACATAAGATTATGCCACTAGATGTCAGCAGCGTGCAGCGCGACTCTGGTGGACTCTAGCTCTTTCGGATGGAATAACATTGTTTCTCTACGTAACCATTCAATATTGTTTAACAGAAATGGGCAGTTCGTTTATACGGCCTTTACTGAGAAACTGGAATGATTTCCCAGAAGCCGATTTCACCCCATCGGTTGACCCATTATATGGATTTGAAAACGGTCGTAAAATAAGAGGTAAGTGTTCCAACTTCATCCTAACCTAGAACTATTATGAATTTGTATTTAAATTTCAATTTGTCTAAACGTTTACGTGCATTATATTTGAAATGATAATATTCGATGTACCGTTTATTCGTTTTACCGTTCACTTAAAAATTTGGTGACATCATTACCTTTACTTTCATATTATCTTCTGCTAATGACATAATTCTCTACTGCTGAAATATGTATGTATTTTTGTTTTAAGTAAATGCTTTTATTTATTATTACTAGATTTGTTTATTACATCGGGCAATCTTGATAGCATAATTCAAGTTCGTTGAAACTGGGAAGGAAGTAGCACTTAGATAAGTTTGCCTTATGTTCTTTTATCTATCATCTTTGTTTCGAAAAAGCTCTAGCGATGATATTTTACTGTTTAACTTTTTTGTCTACATCTCTCTCTCTCTCTCTCTCTCTCTTAAATGGGTATTATGATTGCATACTGCAGAACCAACTGCAACCATAGAAGAAATGAGAGCTGCACGTGTTCCCAAACGCTATCGAAACTACTGTGCTCATAAATTCATAGCCCGAACCACATGCCTCAGAAAGAATTATCCATTTTATCCAAAATGCCGCAAGGAGACGGATGAATATCAGACATGCGTCAGAGATGAGTAAGTATACTCTGTATTTTCAATTGAATTATTGTGTTTTTTTTTATTAATTTTCATTCCCGTTCGTTTCAGTATAATTATTAGAATGAAGGAGATGGAAAGGGAACGTAGATTCCGTCTGAGGCAAAAGAAGAAGGATCGAGCACTAAAAGAAGCAACAGTCGCAGCTTAATCTGAAAGCAGGCTACCTGTTGTTGAATATGTTTAGGACTTATACCTCTAGATGGATTATTGTGACTGTATGTAAATAAAGTATGAATAAATGAACTGCAGTATGGCACTTGTGAGCATTAATAACACTTGTTAAATTCTGATCGAAGAAGAAGACATGTCCAGTAAGCGCAATTTGATACGAATTTGATACCGAACTTTGCTGTCGAATACTGATCCATCTATTTTTGCATATGTTTCGCTCAGCTGTGAGCAAGCGTTGAAGCCAAATGGACATACCAAACTTCACACAACATCTCCGCGCTAGTTTGGCTAACCGGGTTGGTTAGTCATAACCAGGCAAGTTGGCCGGTAGCAAGATCGTTCTTTTAAAAATCTGTTTCTCTGGAAAGCTACGCAAGAAACATCGTTATCTTAAATTTTCTATCAGATTTCTGTCGAACAAGCCCTTCCTCTGATGCCCACACGGACACCGACGCGTTCTTACACCTCGAGAACCGTCATGCCATAAAAATCCTCCAATCCTTTCACAGATATCTCTGAAGATTTCCTAACAAGAGAAAGGATGCGCAACACAGGTGGCTCGTAGAGTACCTAACATTATTTATTTCTCGTTACAAAATGGACAGAGAATTACATATGTACAAAAACAGTTGCGCCCGGCTGGTACGCGAATAAATTACAATCTTAGGATGAGGCACGACGACGAATCCGTGCGATGAGAGACTATCGCTAGGAGGCTTCCTCTCTCGCGACCCCCACCCCCGCATTGGGGGCGGAATCAAGTGGATCGATAGGGTAGAGACCGTCCGTACCCCGTCGACGATTCGAGAGGGAGCGTGACCTGTAACCCATGGACGGATTACCTCCTGTTACATCGTTTTCTCGCCGTTTTTATCTGAACACCGCGTGAGTGACGTTCGACCCCCGGCGCGTGCATGGCTTCGGGGATTTCCGAGGGGGAACACGTCGCTGGCAGCACATCGCTCCCTCGTTTCACTCGTCGCGAAACGGGTCGCGAGGGTTCGTCTACCTAGACACCTTGCCGAAACTTTGCCGCATTGCGCCACTGCGATTGTCGACGACGATCGCCGCGATCCTTCGCCGGATTTCACAAGGATCTTTACGCTCCTCTGGACTCAGCTCCCGTCCAGCCCGCTCGGCGAGAGTGACTCGACAGTGCGGCGCGAGTGTTCGACCCTGTGAAAGTGCGTGTCCTCGCTGCGCAAGAGATCGCAATCGCGCCGGAAATTGATACCCAACGCTAGACACCTGTTCCGGTCCAGAGACGAGCCCGGTGTATGAACGCAGTATCCGCTTACAAATTATCGCCCTGGGACTTACTCTATGCCAGGCCTCGGTGCAACAGTCCCTGGGGCGCCCTGGTCTGCCCCTCAGGGCAATGGCGTCGAGAAGGGGGCGTGGACTACCGTTGGGAGCTGGGAACTGTGATCGTCTGACCTCTGTGGCCAGTGGCCGTAAAACGTTTCCGTCTTGTTGGGGAGGCTGTCGCGCTTGGTACTTAGCTACTTGTTGTAGCTAATAGTTTAGCTATCGGTTGTTCGGCTTTTAATCTAAAGATTTGTTTGTCCGTAGTCCGTAGACGATCGCATGTTCGGAGAGCATCAAATTGTTCAATCTAAAAGGCTGACCTTGAGTTGAATATTTAACACAGCAAATTTTTGTTTGCACAGTGAATAAAGAGAACTATACCATGGTACATCAATTCAGCGTAATCGGATTAGGCGAATTACAGCCGTTTTGTTAACATGGACCGACTTATATCGTTGCACGGACTATAGGACTCTCAGCTTTCCTGCTCCCAATAGTGTTCGATCGGCCTCGGTCTCGTCGGGCCCAGGGCAGGGCCCAGAGAGCAATCTGTGCCCGTGGCCCCTTTAGACGGTTGTACTTACATGCTAATCAAGCGACGTATAAATAGTATTACAAATTGAGCTTGAACGGTCACGGGATCAACTTCGCACGCTTCCCGACGGTGTCAAGGACTTCGCCGTCGAGTGGTTGGAAATTATCGTCGCCGTACGGTTTCGTTGACGCCGCGATGTTATCTAAGCCGACGATCTATTAATCAGATTGCACCGTCGCGGAGACTTTCCACCAGCCGAAAAATCGTCCAAAGCAAATCCCAAAGCCGTGAAAAGTTTTAAATAAGCCCGCGGAACGGTCGTTCCCCGGCGCGCTAATTCTACTCTCTCGTGTATTTACAGTAACCTTAATTACAGATCAGACCGGCGCGTAACACCCGGACAAGTTCGGAAATAAAAACAGAATTACGAAAAAACCGCTAAGTCAACAACGCCAAGGACCAATCGATGCACGGAGATCCACGTGGACGCTGGGGGTTTCGAACGCGCCATTCCCCGCTTTACCCCCGAGCAGATCGAACAGGATCCCAACCGTTCGATCAACTGAGAGTTTGGGGAACCAGTGTTTCGGAAGCCCTGAGCTGTCCGCGAGATCTGAGATAGAGGTCGCGATCTCCAGCGCGCACCGAAACACGCGTGTCGCTTGCATCGACGAATCCGATATCCTCTTTAGCTTCGGGTGCGCCAAGGTTCACCCATTCACATCCACGCGTGAGGACTGGTGATTGTCGGCGGTGAGGCACCGCCAACCGTGGAATAATAAGCTCCTGTAACTAGGATGTCTCCGATTGATGAAGTTTGTACGTATAGACCGGTCAGCGAGGCGAATCGGAAAAATGTAAAGAAGTTCACGTGATCTTGTACAGAGTGTCCCGTTTCAAGTAATCGCGTTCGATTACGTCCAAAACTATAGTTCGTATTAAATAACGTTTCAAATGAGCTGTTTCAATGAAATTTTTCGAGGTAACTACGGCTTCTTTTAACGGGACTCTATATTTTTTTTTGTTACGCAAGCAGATGGCGCACTTCAGAGCCGATTCGCTGTAGAATATTTGATGATGAATTAGTGGATTAGAGCCAATCAATCGAAATATATAGTTCCGTTGAAAAAGAATATTTGTCACCTTGAAATCTTGGGAGCACGTTCATACAGCAAATATTTGCGACCGTTATAGGAGGTCCTCCTCGAAACAGGGTAAGGTTATTTTGGAATATTCTATGAAACGAACTATACTTTAGGAGATAATTGAATTAATTACTTCAAATGGGACACCCTGTATGCGTTAATAGTCGCCAGTCGAGACATAATATACACGAGGCCGTTGTCCGTGCCCGGTCCTCCTGTCCCAGGCATCGGAGACGTTCGGTTTGCTACCAGCAAAGAAGTCGGATACCCTGCTACGCGATTAGGACCTTCAAGTTACACTGTACACGTGCTCTTCGAAACGTAACATCCACAATGAACCGAAACCGTGTTTGCAGTGTTGCACACCGAGAAGTCTGTCTCCAGGCGTAACCCGATCCGACCGGCGACTGTTGAGCTACTTGCCAGGTTCTGCGAGCAAGGGCCGACAAAAGTTGGCCCGGAGCTCGGCACTTGACAGCCAATGGTTTCAGCCGCTAGCACCGGCCACGTGTACATCACGCGGACGTTCTGTTTACGTTTACTGACTCGCCTCGTCGGGCGGACTATAGAGCTGCGATGCAAGTTGCTTCCGAGCACAATCCCCTTTCGTTGCTGGCAGTGTCAATCTCGCGGATAGATGACTCTGGTTACCTACGGTTATGTCAAGGTTATGGTTAAGTCGGTTCGACTGGTTTACTTCGATATTCAGATTGTTGACATGAACTTGAGGTTATGCGAAGAGATACAGTGAATTCTCTCAAATACAGTAAATCCTCCCCAATTGTCCTTCAGCTTGTGAACAGAAGTGGACAATTTTGGAAGAGGGGATACGATTATTCGAGCCTCGCGGCTTGTTTTCATAGTTGTTGACGATCGGCAACTGTAAAAACGAGCCGCAAGGTTCGAATAATCGTATTTACTTCTTCTTTGTTTACATGCTGAAGGACAATTGGGGAGACTTTACTGTAGTCCCTTAGCTTGGAATCGAAAAATGGACAACTTGGGAAGACCGGACACGATTCTTCGAACTTCGCGGCTCGTCTTTATAGTTGCCAACATCTCGTGAAAGGGAGGGAGGGAGGGAGGGAGAGAGAAAGGGAGAGAGAGAACGAAAATCGGTGCAGTCAGCAAACTTAAAAACCAGCGGTCAGCATCTCGGTGTACATTAACATAGTTAAACAATACTGCTAGAATAAAAATGATGTTTCGACTTTTTCATTTCTGAATTTTTATACATGAAAATTTGTTCAACATATTGGTGAGACTCCTCCAATAAAAATGAGATCAAACATGACATGCTTGACCATATTTATTCAATTGCGTAGTGATTGATTTTACTTTATCGAATCAGAAATATCCGTCCAAACTATGCCATGTTTTGTCTCATTTTAATCAGAAAATCATCAGCAACACGTTAAAAAACCATTCAGATTTAAAAAATGTTAAAATTGAAAAAGTTACGTCAAGCTTATATATTATAAGTTGTAATTTCGGGGATTCTAGTCGAACGAGCCGGGTGCTGCATCACAAGCTTGACTGACTGCGACGATCTGTAGCATAGGCATAGATATCACGCACATAGGCGTAGGCATAGCACATGGACAATGCGAGCAGACCTAGGACAAGGGACAATATGAGAGAATTTTCTGTATCTGGCAGACCGCCCAATGTCGTTCACTGTCTCGTAACGAGGGGGTCTTGTGTCGCTGAGGATTCGTCAGTCTACACGCGTGTTCTCGTCCACGCGGAATAGGGACCCTTAGCTGAGATGCTCTGCGGGCGACGATGAGACCCAGCTAGCCGCATCCCCTACGGGATCGATCGCGATCATCCGGCGGATCAGCTTCCGAGACGCTCGCATCGCACGGTGACTAGTGCCGCGTGGGTATCGGCTGAGGTTCGAATTGCTGCCGCGGTCCTACGGGAGAACGTCGTATGGGGGACCCAGTGGGTCCTTTCGGTGGCGCATCGGCGGCTGGCTCGTGATCGACGCGACGGTCCGCGCGGAGGAGAGAAGCTTCCGGGAAGGTGCGCGCCAGGCTCTCCTCACTTATTCGTCCTTCAACGTCTTCGCTCTGGACTTCATGTACGCCCGCCGGTAGAAGTCGGAGAACAGGGCGAAGAAGACTGTCGAATGGATGAGAAGCAACGTCGCCACAAGCTTAGGGTAGCCGCAGTCGAAGATCAGGGCCTGGGCGCTGTGCACGAACACCAGGAAGAACTGCACCTGCGGACAGAAATCAGATCAGTGAGTCTAGCTTCCTTTTTCATTGCTGTTTCGTTTTGTACAGCTTTGATCACTCTTTGCCGCGCGAATTCGTGTCTGAGTTTGCCGCTGGGAGCAGCGATCAGTGCTCCGAATGCTTCGGAACGCAACATTGGGCTCCGCCTCCTGACTACCGCGTTGCGAGCGCTGTGGCGATGAGCCGTTGGTGGCAATGCGGGGAGCGAGGCGCTGTGGCGTTAGGTCGATGGAAGCAGCGGGAGTGAGGGTCGAGGCGCTACGGTAGTGAGCCGGTGGAAGCAATGCGGGGAGCGAGACGCTGTGGCGGTAGACTGATGGAAGCAACGGGAGTGGGGGCCACGCGCTGCGGCGGTTAGTCGATGGTAGCAACGCGGAAAGCGAGACGCTGCGGCAGTAATCGGGAGGCGGAGCCCAATGCTGCGTTCCGAAGCATTTCGAGTACTGATCTAGATTAATTCGGAGGGCTATCTCATCCGAGCAGTGTTTCGAATGACTTTTCCGGTAATAGGGATGATGTACTGCGTGTGGCTAAAAGTGACTCAAGTGACAACTTATGGTGAATTAATAATGCACCTGGCTTGGTTATTCGAACTTCTAACACGGGTTATATGCGTGTGGTAGGAACGTCTTTATGACTTCATTCTCTTGCTTCGTTGCTTTAAAATTATAAAATTCTGATGCAAATTCTTGGAGGTAATCGTTCGGTAATTCTCAGTACTTTAGACTAGTCTTAGTGATTGCCGGATTTTAGGCGTTTATGACGAGAGGAGTAGGGTAATGGAGCCGATTACTGTGGCGTGCTGTGAAATAAATATGGTAAATTTGTGGGTACAGTATCAAACGCGATTTAAGGTTGCAGCTCTATTTCTCCTACCCTATTTAACAGAAAATTGTAAAAAAAATCATGAGGTTTCCATCCCCTTGGATACATATTTGAGAATTTTCACAGATTTTTCGATTGCGAAACCGATTTTTAAAAAATCTTTTTGCGCAATAAAAAGTAGAAAAAAATCATTTCCCATTTTTTCAGATACGTGCTGCCATTTCGAAAAATCTGACAAAATTACACGGTACTAACTATAACAAAAGGTAAACACTGTGAAAAGATAAGAGTGGTCACTTCGCAATGTCAATAGAAAATCGACAATTTAAATATTTCCTGATTTTTTGAAAATCGGTTTTGCAGTCGAGAAATCTGAAAAAAATTCTCAAATATGTATCTAAGCGAATAGAAGCCTCATGATTTTTTTCATAATTTTCTGCTCAATAGGATAGGAGAAATAGAGCTAGAACCGCAGATCACGATCAACCCTGCAACTACCCCAATAGTAGAGGTAAAAAACTGCCACTTGGGGGAGGAACTTTTCTTCGGAGCACATATTGATTGGTGTGTACGAAGTTCAATTTGACTCAGGGACACTTTTGTCATGCCTATTTGGCTAGAGCCTTTAGCTACTCTTTTATTTTCTTCATTGTTCAATAAAAAAATTGAAGTTCGACATTCTACTACCTACAAGTTGTGCATCAACTAGAAAATTCCCACAAAGCTTCAGTTCCTAGTCTAGATGAATTCTGACTTCCTAGAAGAATACTTCTTCCTTTGGTATGAAATTACTGTAATTATGCGAATGGTCGCACCGCTGCAACCGAACCGAGCTGCGATTCGATCAGAACGATTTCGTCCGGCTTTTTCCCCGCGAACAGCTAACGGAGAGAGTTAGAGGGAGGGGGGGGGCTCCGGAGTCAATGACAGCGTTGTTCTCTCGCTCGTAATTAAATGAAACACCGTTTGGTAACCGCCTGCGCGCAGTCACGTGGCTATCCGGCTGCATTAGAGGTGCAACGTGTCGCAACCCGAAATTGTGTCACGAAGATACGCACACGGATACCGGTGTCGCGAGTCGCGCGCTCGGGACAGACGAATTAATGGAGTACAGATTGTACGCGATCGCGGCAATGACGCAAGGATCATCGGGATCGCTTTGCATAGCCCGGTCGGCTGGTTTCTGAGGCAACGCTATCTCCACAGATCGATCTAGCCAAGTGAAATTTCCGTTGCGCAGCTCGGCGAAGACGTGAAATTTCGTCGAGCGCGAAACATAATCGCGGAGCGGACAAAGATTCGGCCGCCCTACGGACTGGTCTGGAATCCGATCTCGTTGGCCAAAATTATCTTAGCTGCTTGTCTCGACGGTCAAGATCGTGTTACAAGAGGTCGTTGAACTGAGGTCTTGACAGCAGCTGGACTATTCTGATGTCAAAAATATCTATTGACAATTATAAAAGGCAAAATAATTTCCATACTTTTTATAAATTAAAACCTTTTTTTGTGAGTGGTCTGGATAGCAACTTTTTCTGGACAAAATCCAATTTTTCTGCAATGAGAATGTTGTTGTTGCAACTATTATATAATATCTATTGAGAATTATGGAAGGTAAAGTGAATTCCATAGTTTATGAATCGAAACCTTTTTTGGAAGTCTGTAAAACTTTCTAATTGAAAGTTTTCTGGAAGTTTGCGTAACTGTGCCGAGTGGTCTGGACAGCAATTTTTTCTGGACAAAATTCAATTTTTCTGCAAGGAGAATGTTATTAATGCAACTATTATAGGTAAAATGTAATAATGCGTTTACGTATCATAAACGATGTAAGAATAATTGCGGATTTCTACGCAAAATATATATATAAAAATTATCATTTGATAAATCTCATTCTTTTAGAAGCTTGCTCGAAGTTTGCAATATTTTTAGCTTTCTTAATAAAAATTGAAATATTTAACATGATTAATATCTCACAAATGAAACCGTTGTCAAATCTAATATTTTGTTATCTTGCGATTTTCTTCATCACACACAAGTACCGAATTTAATTATGAAGTCATTAGAGATCAATTAATATTTTGGTGCTCGAGGTTTCAGGAGGGTTTTCATAGCATAAGAAATTTCGTCGAAATACCGTAAAATGTGTGCGTCATCCGAGTAAAAGGCATCGCATAATTCGACTGTTCGATCAGGCGAAGTTATTCACTCCGTTAAGATCGAGCTAGCATGATTCGCGATTAACGTTCTCCCTCAGCGATTTTTCCGCAAAAAACACCGTTTCTCACGAACCTTGCATCGTTACCCCCCCCCCCCGGAAACCGTTCGAAATGTTGCTTTGCTTGTTCCGAGTTACGGAGACGAGTACGCTAGTTATAATTTCATATAAAATTTTTATTCGACAGCAAATATACGTGTCTTGCCGCGTCAATTATCGTAAAATTTTTGTAAATCGTCATGTACAATAATTTCTTTCTAATTGACGCTCAGCTTGGAAACGAAAATGGACAATTTGGGAAGAACCANTTAACGTTCTCCCTCAGCGATTTTTCCGCAAAAAACACCGTTTCTCACGAACCTTGCATCGTTACCCCCCCCCCCCCGGAAACCGTTCGAAATGTTGCTTTGCTTGTTCCGAGTTACGGAGACGAGTACGCTAGTTATAATTTCATATAAAATTTTTATTCGACAGCAAATATACGTGTCTTGCCGCGTCAATTATCGTAAAATTTTTGTAAATCGTCATGTACAATAATTTCTTTCTAATTGACGCTCAGCTTGGAAACGAAAATGGACAATTTGGGAAGAACCAATTGTCAACAACTATAAAAATGAGCCGCGAGTCTCGAATAATCGTATCTCCTCTTCCCAAATTGTCCATTTTTGCGCGCAATCTGTGCGCGAATTAGGGAGAATTTACTGTACGGTGTCAGTTTCGGGGGCAATTTCGGGATAATTGTTTCGCTCCTGGAGAAGGTTTCAAGAGACAATTTTACAGATTTCTCACGTTCAAGTCGAGTCAAATTTTTCTGATGTTAATGTCTGTTATACGGATTAGAGTGAAAGACTCTCTAATTGATGCTCCGATTGTGCCCCAAAAAATGGACAATTTGAGAAGAGGGGATACGATTATTCGAGACTCGCGGCTCGTTTTTATAGTTACCGATTGTCAACAACTATAAAACTGTGACGCGAGGCTCGGATAATCGTATCTGCTCTTCCCAAATTGTCCATTTTTGCGCGCAATCTGAGCGCGAATTAGGGAGAAATTACTGCACCCACGTTGGGTTGCTCATGGGATCCCCAGGAAGAAGTGACATTTATTGATCATAATACACGAATATCTACATATATATCGTATCTCTTTATTATACATAGTATAATATAATCAATATAGTACAATCACGAGGAAGCAAGACTTCCTAACATTGGGGTTTACTGGTCTCCCCAATTGACGCACAACTTGGAAACGAAAATGGACAATTTGGGAACAGTAGGCACGATTATTCTAGTCTTGCGACTCGTTTTAATAATTGTTGACAATCGGTGATTGTAAAAACGAGCCGCGAGGCCCTCGAATAATCGTGTCTCCTCTCCCCAAATTGTCCATTTCTCTGTACAAGTTGAGCGCGAATTAGGGAGAATTTACCACCGGGTTCAAACAAACAATTAACGTTACAGTCGCCGCCTAAAAGTTTATTTTGCAATGACGATATTTTAGGGATGTTTCAGTTCGTCTTTTCGAACCAAGACAATTTGCCCTTCCCGTATTAAAATTTTCTAATTAATTTAACGCTGGAGGCGCTGTACAAGCAACTTAAGGGATGATTTACCAAATTTGATTTTGCAATAACGTTATCTTGAGGCGGTGAAAGTGACTACTCGGGCCCTCGTGTGCCTTTCGCAAATGAATTTCCCCGACGACATGTTGACAAAATGATTACACTCGTTTTTATACTCGTTAGAAATCGGCGATTATAAAAACGAGTCGCGAGGCACTGGACTAATCGAATCTCCTCTTCCCAAATTGTCCATTTCTACGCGCAATCTGAGCGCGAATTAGGGAGAAACGATTGTAACTTTTAACGTGAACGCGAAAACGACCAGATCACCGAACGAAAAAAATGTCCGGTAGACGGCTACGAAACGTTCGCCGGGGCCTGTTCACCGAAGACAGAGGCGGCGG